TGGATGGATGAATAGATGGATGGATGAATAGATGGATGGATGAGTAGATGGATGAATGGATGAATAGATAGATGGATGTTTGCAGGGATCATTGCAGTGTCTGAGTTTGGTACCCTCTATAGAACCAGTCTGGTGTAACCGTGCAGGTAAGCAGGACCCTTGGTCCACACAAACACGCATACAGCTGTTATCGTGCGCACTGTGGGTGTAACCTGCAGGCTTATCTCACCGCGGCAGCTGTCCGGATGAAACGAGTGGTCGCCCTCGATATCCTGCTCAAACCCCGCCCTGCAGACATGGAACAAGGAGAGGGAGGAGAGGAGACGACAATCAGGACGGTGAAACATCGAACAAAACCAGACGTGGCGCTGCTGGTTACTGTTGCCGGGGAGCTTAATCAGTGACAGGTGATGGCTTGGGACAACATTTAATCAGATTTTGTCACATGGTTCATCTGCAGCGCACGGCTCCGTGCGAAGGCCACAGGAGCTCGTCCAATTAAAGGGAGGAAGGTCGTCCAGCCCGAAGACAGACGGGGACAAGAAGTGACCATGAAACACACACACGCACACAGGCGCACACACACACACAGTATCAGTAAAGCTGCTGTAAATGAAGTCAATTACTTTCCGCTCGGCATCTCCTGCTCGCCGTTTTGTCCCTGCTGTTTACCGTTTCTGACTCCATCACTACCAGCGCCTCCACCTGACCTTCAAATCCATTTTTAAAGAGGCAACAAATCAGGATTTCACAGCCACACGGGACAAAAAAGTGGAGCGAGTACCGCCGCCACACAAACACCAGTGGGCTGTTAGAAAGATAAAACACGTTAACACAGGAGCGAGTTTCCCAACATTCCCAGTTCAATCAACACGGCGTGCATTCCTCCCAGCTGTCCGCATCACCAACACGTCTGATGAATCCCAGGAGAGCGTCTCCGTCACCTGTGCAGTTTCAGAGCCTCCGCCCGGGCCATCAGCAGCTTTTACTGACTTCTTCTCAGTCGGGGATCAAAGGTAATAACCTGAAACTACGACATGTGTCGCGCACACGTCCATGATGTCACCGCCTTTACACCATCTGTGTGTGTCCTACGCTCCTCTGACTGTGAGACTGGATCGGCCTCCGCACGAGGACTAAGGTCGTCCACAGCAATCGCTCGGGAGGGTCACGATGGTGGCAGCAGGAATGATCACCATGGAGACGATGCTGAGAGGAAAGCTGGGACGCGTATCCAAGCCGGAACGTACGACCCGCTTTCAGCAGCTGTTCTGCCTGCTGCTGTGACTCACTACCAGCCGTGTGAGCGTCCTCTCAGCTGATCTGTGCCACTCAAACACGCACAGCTAAATAACCAACGGACGCCCGACTTCCACATCTGTGCACGTGGAGGTGACCCTGAGCTTCAAAGGCCTCAGGTGAAGGTGTGGACAAGAACAGGTTTAATCTCGACGTTAACGGCAGTCGGACAGACGGGCCATCTTCAAACGCTCACCAGGAAATCTGAAATCTGTCAGCAGTTATTACAGAGCCGCTCTCCCAGCGTCCGGCGATCAAAGCTTTTCTTCCAAACAACAAGAAACGCGAGCCAGCATCGACGGAGCCGGCACAGAGTTTCCAGGTGTTGGAATCTTTGCCCACAAAGCTGCTGGGTTTGCCACGCCGCTGCGATCTGTGACAGAAGCATCCATCAGAAGCATCCATCAGCCCGATCGCACCGAACCCACACCCGAGTTCATCTGGCACGCGTGTTTCCAGCTCTCTTTACCACGCTCTGCCCGTACAGCCAACATGCCTGCTGGTTGGCAGCTGTCCGGCAGCTGCTCGCTGTCTTACTCTCTTCCTCCGCTTTCTGTCTGATGGATTCATCACTTACTGACAAACACACAAAAAGAGGCATTTGGATGAATGTTCACTGTTTACAACAACATGTGACCAAACATGCAACGCTGTCACAACAGCCACAGAGGGAACACAGCCAGTTTCCTGAGGCGCTGAGACACGCGTGCGCACGTTTTCCATGCTTCCCAAACCTTAAATGAACCGAACGCGTCACCACAAACCATGTGACAATGTTATTATTGCCCAGGTGTGTCAGAGAGAGGAACAAAGGGGAGCACATGAAGAAGACTGCACTCCATATCCCAGAATGCAGCGCTACAGGAAAGAGCTCAGCTGAGACGGAGACCGCCTCCTCCTCAGTGTGTTCACGGGAGATCGACCAGCAGGTGATGGATGCGGCCTGACACCACCCGAGGGCTCCGAGTTCTCCTCACGCATCACCTGCACACACCTGCAGGCCTCTAAAACACGTCGCTGTAAAACGTGCTGTCCACGCTGTGACCTCTGACACCTGTGTTCCTCTTCTTACTACATCTGAGAGGGAAGGACGGCGCCTCAGGCACCTCAGGCACGAAGATACCGTCGAACGATTCAGCCGAGCTGGGGCGCGATGGACCTCGATGGAACACCTCTGAACACTGAAGCTCAGCCACACAGACCCACAGCGCCGCCCGAGCAGGAGTCCCCTGTAAGCTGTCACACGTGGGAGTGTGTCTGCAGAGCTTCCTGTGTACACAGCGAGCACACTCTCCCTCCCCGCTCAGACCGTCTGCAGGCCAGAGAGATAAAACCACACCACCCAAAAAAGTTGGATGAATTATGGAGGAGCGGGCGCTGCAGAACATTCGTTAAACTGAATTTATTATGAAGCGTTTTGCTCTCGCTTCCTCGTCGCTCTATATTTACCTCTGCGAGTGCCGCCCCCGCGCTCGCTCCAGCTTCCACCAGCGTGGGCTGAGCTGTAAGTGAGGAGCGAGAACAGGAGGAGGTCGCTATAAATCCCAGCCATGTTCAGGCACCTGAACGCCTCGCTCACGCAGAGGGGCGCGCCTCAGAGGAGGAGGAGGGGATGGAAATAGACTCCGTCAGTCAGCCAGAAAACGCCACTGATGCTGAATGGCGTTTTGGTGCTGATGGCGTGGAGGCAGGTCGGGCATGTGCGGCTGAAGAACACAAATGTGTACGTAGGCGCTTTCACAGCATCGCTGTTACATTCACGCCCAGGACGGAAACGCTGCTGGCACCGGCCCCGCCCACCGCTGCCCGTCATTGATGAACGGTCCTCCATGTGACCTTTCCCAGCCGGGATGTCAAACACATCCAAACACAGTAGACACCGCGATGCCGACCAGAGCGATGGTGGAACCATCAGGACTGAACCCTGGACCCGCTCAGGTGTGTCTCCTGCAGGTGTTTGGGCCGTGAGGAGGCCAGAGCCGTGCTGCTTGATAAGAGGTGCAGACAGACGGCAGGAGCAACGTTAATCACCCACCTGAGCGACCCAGCCAGCTGTTCCAGCTGCTGTCGTTTTATGACGTCATCAGTCGTTGTTACAGTAAAGTGGGCAGACCTGCGAGGGTCGCTGATGCTTCATCGATCGTGTCATTGACACGGGAGGAGGGTGGAGCGGCGTGAACATGGCCGACTCTGAGAGCGCCCCCTAAACATCTGAGTTCAGTTTGGATTTTAAACCACACGAATGTTTTCAGGTAACTGGCTCTCTACCTGCCTCCTCCTCCTCCTGCTGTCCTTTTTTAGTATTCTGCAGCTGCTTCTCCATTTTCTGTCTTCACATGGAGTTATATAAGCTGCTAAACTTCCTCTTCACTCATCCCTTCTTCTCCCCGGAGGGAATCTGTTACTTTTCAGCAGAAGTTTGAGGGGCTGAAACTCCTTCAGCTCTGCAGGAACACCTCTGAGAGCAGAAGCTGCAGCTCAGCCTCCGGCAGGTGTGCCGGCTTCAGGCTGCAGAGGTTTCTGCGTGCTTCGGTTTCAATGAGACGTCCAAAACATCAGCTTCAGTTTCAGCAGAGCAGTGAGAAAATAATGAGACAAAAACAGGCGAGTGGAACGACTCAGCAGCAAAACTCTTTCTCTGATCCTCCAGGAAACAACGCTCAGCATCCACATTTCTGACTGCACGTGAACGCCTCGCTGACGACGCGTCAGGAAGACGTTTTAAACATCCTACAAAACACCGTCGTCAGCACAGAGTCAGCGCTGTGGTCCTCCACAGATATCCATCCCCGACTTTAAACAAGACGAACCTCATAAACGCTGCGGTGAGCGGACCAAAGTGCTGAGTCAGAGCGCCGTGAATCTCTCCGACAAACCCGGCTGCACGTCTTCCTGACACAGATCTCTTCCTCTGTCTTTGTGCTGCTGCTCCTCTCTCATCTTCCTCCTTTCCACCTCTTGCATCACAGCTTCGCCTTGCTCTCCGTTTCCTTCCTCGCTTCCTTTTTATCTCACCCCGTCCATTTAAATCCTCTCTGCTCCGTCTGCATGGCAACGCCCGCTGTGTCGTTCACGCTGCTGTGGTGGAGATCATCTGTGTGACTTCCTCTAAACACTGAAACCATCTGTTTGCACCTCCGCCATCACCGCCATCTGAGCAGGACGCCATCATTTCCTGTCAGCTCTATGATGGTCATCATAAATAACCACCTGCAGCGTCTGCGGTGTGACAGCTCAGGACGCCGGGCGTGTGAGTGGACCACAGTGAGGCGCAGCTAGGCAACGAGTCTGCACGGCGACGGCTAAGCAGACCCACAAACTCAAACCTGTCTGGCACCAGAGCGATAGATCAGGCTGATATTTGATCAATGACACCGATTATGGACGAGTCAAAAATCACAGTGTTCTTCTCTGAGATATGAAACATTTCCTGAACCCCTGCTGTGTGCAGGTATTGGTGACCGTCTCCGCTCGGATCAGCTGATCAGTGTGTTTGTGTGCTGCCAGCAGGGAAGCTGCAGAGCGCCCTCTGATGTGCAGAGCTGTTATCACAGCTGAAGGGTGTTTCTGAGTTTCACACACGTGTTTACTGTGGAGACCAACCTACACTCATGTATGTGCAGAGGCAACGCGCCTGTAAGCCTCGTCACATCACTCTGTAACATGACGTCTCGTATGCTGTGCTGAATAAAGCTCAGATAAAGTGATTTCAGGTTAAATGATGAGCTGATGTCGTACACTTGAAAAACATCGAGCCCGTCTGCAGGTTTGTATGGATGTAAATAAATCAGCCGCAGGACGAGCTGGAGGAAGCATGGCGGAGTGCAAACACCCTGCCGGCGTTTTGCTCCCAGGCGAGCGGCTTCCTGACTCGAGCCTTTCTTGTGAAGTGTGCTTGGAGCGAAGCAGAGGTCCCTGCAGACGGCACACACTCACAGGAAACAAATATTCCTCGTGATGAAGAGAGAAAGGCTCGGTGCTACAGAGCACACACTCAAATGAGTGTGAAGGGAAAAATTAGCATCGGCGTTTCCAGCTAATCCCTGACACTTCCAGAGAAAAAGAAAGTACAAAATGAGGCGTGTTGGGAAAGCGTGCAGACTGTAACCGCGCCGTGCTGCGTTCATCGTCAAGATATTTTCAGTGTTTCTGCAGGAAATATCTGAGTTATTCCACATGTGCAGACCAGATGTTTGCTCAGACTGATCCGACCAGAGCTTCATCTTTACATGCTTTCATCCTCACATCATTCACTGAGCACAGCTTTATTTTGAAAAGCTCCGTTTGCCTTTGTGAAACAAGGACGACTCGTTTCAGGCGCAGATAAGTTCAAAGAACACAAAGTGTCTGATTTTACCTCCAGGACACGCTGAAGCTGCAGGATTCCTCCAAGAGCTCCAGTTTCACAGTTTGGGATGTTTCCACTCACTTCCTGTGATCGTTCTCTCGCCTGCCGTCTGAGGACCCCAGCTGATGATATTACAGCGGCTGAAACACCCCTCCCCCGACCAGCGTATGAAAACAACATCAGATCGATCTGCGGACCCGGTGGACTAACTGACGCCGCGTCCACAGATCGATCGATGGCCCTGAAGAGCTGTGGAGTGGGCGCGAGTTACCTGACACTGTGGACCTATTGATTAGGAGATGAACACACCTGTGTGTGTGTGTGTGTGTGTGTTTGTTTTTAGGCTGAGATGGTTAAAGCTGGTAAACAAGCTTGCCGTCTTCCATTTACAGTGTTTTTGCTGCTGGACAGGGATTGGCCGAGGCAGCTCTCGCATCACCAATTCTCCCTCAGCGTTTCACGCGGTGTCTCAAACGGGCATTTTTCGTGGCCGTCCACAGTGCTGCGGGGACTCACATGGATGCTGCAGTTTGTGCTTCAGCCCGACGCCTCAGACGCCGCAGACATCAGCGTCGGCCTCTCTGATCGGAGGTGAAACGTGTTCACGGCGCAGACGTTCCTCTGACTCACGCCTCTGCGCTCTCTCGAGGAGCCTGCGAGCCTCTCAGCGCTGAGCCGGTTTGTTTGGGGCTGAACGAGCTTCCTGAAACGTTTCACCGGGAATGTCGACAGAGGACCGACTCGGTCTTCGGTTTAACGATGATGACGTCACAGTAAACACTCAGACTGTATATGAAAGATGGACAACATCACCTTGGCGCTGGTATGATGGTTTCTAACAGAAGCAAGCAAACATTTTTCACCACAAGGCTCCAGCAAACACACACAGATACCTGTGAGTATCATCCAATCACAACCCTCAAAGTTCATTCAGCAGACCTGGAGCTCCGCCTCTGGTAGCACAGCAACCTCACAGCAGCCGGGTGATTGGTCAGATTACCACAAATGCTCCAACGGGCTCTAACAGCACCAATAGGAGCCGCCTGTGTCACCATCCACCTGTCAGTCACAGAGGCCACGCCCCTCACCATAGACCAAACCAGTTTGGTCTATGGTGAGGGACCTCCTTTCAGCCTTCATCGGATTGATGGAGGCTGAAAGGAGGCGGAGCAAAGAAAAGGAAGAGATAGAGCGGCACAGGCACAGAAACAGGAAATAATACGTACTTGAAACCCGGCGCAACGTTGGCGCAGCTCCCGGTCCGAAGCCAGATACAGTATGGGTCACGAGAGGCCAGGCAGGCTCTGCAGAGGGAGGAGAGGAAGAGGAGTTAGAGTTTGGGCTCTTCCTCATCACTCAGTCACGGTCAGACGAGTCTCCCAGCATGCTCTGAGAACACCTGCAGAGCAGCAGGGAGAGCTTTAAACGTCGCTGGCTAATGATCCCCTAAAGCACGGGTAGGGAACTCCAGGCCTCGAGGGCCGGTGTCCTGCTGGTTTTAGATGTGTCCTTGATCCATCGCAGCTGATTTAAATGGCTAAATGACCTCCTCAACATGTCCTGAAGTTCTCCAGAGGCCTGGTAATGAACTAATCATTTGATTCAGGTGTGCTGACCCAGGGTGAGATCTAAAACCTGCAGGACACCGGCCCTCGAGGCCTGGAGTTGG